CGTTTCTGAAAGTGAATGGGCGTCCCTGTTACTTACTTCCAAGGCTCTGTGAGCCCAGAGCTAAGGGACCACGATGGTGTCCTGTTTGAGTCAGGGGGGGAGTCCTGTTTTGTTCGTGTGCTTCAGCATTGTGTGTGTGGGCTCCGTTGGTGCTGGGAGCGTCCCTCAGCCTGGGAGGGACTCCTGAGACACTGCCGGGCTCTCCCTGGACAGCGGTGCCCCGGGACCCCCATCCCTTCCTCTCTGTCAGGGGCGAACCTCCAGCTCCCCGTTCCCCAGCTCTCCCGCCATCGCCCGCTTCCCTCTGGAGATGCACGGTTCCCCTGGGCACCACTTCACTCTGCGTCTCACTCCGCACCATTGCCGGGTCCCAAGCCCCCTCCCCTCCCAAATCTCACAGCTCTGCCCTCCCTTCGGTCGCTTTGGACCTCCGAATGAGTGGTCTTTGGGTGGAACGTGGGGGCCTCTGGGGCTCGTGGGTCGTGGTACAGCCCTCAGTTGTGCAGAACTGCCAGTCGTGCAGACCAGCCTCGCTCTAGATGGGCAGACGAATTCTGTGTAGTGGCCAAGCAGTTGATCTGCCACAGAAAAAGCCAGTTTTGTGCTGGTTGGAAATTCAATATTCCTTTATTCTGTATTTTTTAAATTGAGCTGAAGTTCACATAAAATTAGCCACAGCACAGTGAGCAGCTCAGCGGCATTTAGCACATTCACAGGTGCGTGCAGCCACCACCTGTGTCTGCGGCCTTTTCATCACCCCAGAAGGACCCCCGTGCCACCGAGCAGTCTCGCCCCCTCCTCCCTTGGCCAACGCTGCATCATTTTGCGGTTCTTTGACTTCTTCTTTGAAGGTATTGTAACACGTCATGAGTAGTGAGTTATTAAGTAACATTTTAAACACACAGTCGTTTTAATCTTTTAACACCACGCGCCCCTTGGCTGAGCCGCCAGCCCTCCTCACCGGGTGGTGCTGGTCCCAGCGGCCTCCGGCGCCTCCTCCTGTCTGTCCTTCGTGGGATGTGGGTGAAAATCTGGTCACGGAGGGCGGGTGGGCGCTTCATGTGTGGAGTTCCCGGTCTTTTCTGTGCCAGAAGGCGGCTCTTCAGTGATACTTTGAAAAGAAATCCTCTTCCTGGGCTGGTGCTGTGTGGCCTGCCAGGCCGGTCAGCGGGTACCGGTCAGTTGTCACTTGTCCCGTGTGGTGTGGAGCGGGCCAGATGTTCACAGCTGTGGAGCGGACGCAGGGCCAAGGGCAGACACACACTGAGTAAGGAAGGGAGCCGGTGCCAGCGGGCTTGCGCAGTAATCGTGAGCGTGAGCAGAGAGCAGGACCCTCAGCCACGGCGTGTAGCAGCCAGGACTCGACCCTACCTGTTCCAGGGAGGCCGAGGCCGCCCTGGCACCCCGGGTCCCCAGCAGACCTGCAGCACAGCTTCCCCGTGTGAAGGCTGACCCTGGCCCCTAGCGAGGCCAGGCTCCCTCGTGGGGCGCTCATGCTGGTGACCCTGGCTTTTCCCCCTCCCTCAGCACGTGGGGAGAGGCCTCTGCCTGCTGCCGAAACCAACCACAGTCGGCAGGTGGCTGTGACCTTGAGCAGAAAGAAGAAGGTCAAGACTGGATCGGGGAAATCCCCCGCGTAGCCCCGCTGAGCAGAGACGGACCCCGTCCACCAAGAGGACTAGACTGTCGCGGGAAGGACGGCTGCTGTCAGGATCTGCAGCTCAGGAGGGGCCGCTGGTGCCTTTGGAAGTGGCCGCGGGCAGCGTTCAGTTCAGGGTGTCGCTGGCCTGTGGTTTTGAATGATCGGCTTTTCTTGTTTCCTGCCAACTGGTACGTGGGTGCATTCTCCTTCAGATTTAAGGCATTCTATTGGGGTACAAAGGAAGGCCTGCCTTATGGAGGAAACAGCTCTCGAATCACGGGTCCGCAGCGTCTCCACGTCCTGTCGGGTGGTTGCCTGTTGCTGGACACATCAGTGCTGTCATGGGGGGAGAGTGGGGACCCCTTCCTCAGAGTCCCCACGCACCTGCAGAAGCCAGCTTTGCAGGTTTTCCCATCGTAAATGACATACGTGGATGACCTTAATTTGCGAGGAATTCCGGCTCCGTATCGGAGTTTTGGAGGGAAGGGAGTGGGACGTCCCAGCACCTGCATTCACGAGAAACCAGGTTCAGGGATTCAAGCCCAGTGGTGCTGGGCGATTTCTACGCATTTCCCTTCGGCTACGCAGACGATGTCCCAGGTGGGGCGTGTGTGGTCCCAGCAGAGCCCGAGGGTGTCCCTTCCCGACCCAGTCCGAGTTTAATCAGCTGCTGGGAAGAGCAATTTGCTGAAGCACACCCTCCCTTTCTGATAGATCTGCTCCGCTAATTCACGTGTCGCTGAAGAAGCGCTGATCCCAGGCCCACCCGGGACTCCCTCTGGGGGTGTGGACACCGTGGTTTCTGCCCCGTGCCTCTGCCCAGGGTAGGAGGGGACCCAGGTGAAGGCCGTGCTTCGGGGTTTGTTCTTGATGGCCTCCTCGTGTGTCGACGTGCCTCCCGCTCCCTCCCTGGTGGGCCGAGGAGCTACGTGTGACTCAGAACTGCAGCGTCTGCCCAGGGCCGTGTGCCCAGGGCGACGCAGGCCCGCTCTCCCGTGCGGTCTGGTCCTTTCTATGACGGCACGAGTTGAATCCTGTCTCTGGGAACGTCTTAGTGTTACGCTGGTGAGCGTCCGCTGGACGAGACCGTCTCCGTGTGGGTGCCCGTCCCAGCTCCTCCCCGTCACGCGTGGCCAGACAGCGGGGGGGCTCACCCCGCCCCACCGCCGCTGAGCCTTAGCGCTTTCCCTTTGTCAGTTCTGTGGGGGGAGAAGGACATCTTGTGTTCATTTGCATTTTTCTGACTACCAGCGAGAGGCACGTTTCATTTCACACATTTGGTTGCAGCATGATTAGAGAGTCTTGTATTTTTTTTTTTTTTTTGGTTCGTTTTTTGTATTTTTTTTTAGAGGGAGAGGTAAGTATGTTTTTCTTTTAATGGAAGCACTGGGGATTGAAGCCAGGACCTCATGCATGCTAAGCGTGCGCTCTACCTCTGAGCTGTGCCCTCCCCCCGAGAAGGGAGTCTTCAGCCTTCAGGAGAGCACTGACCGGCTCGGGGGCGACCCCCCTGGAGCACGAGGGCCAGTGTGTGGTGGTGGTGGTGGTAGGCAGCGTTCCCGCCGGGCGTTTGTCTCCCTGCAGGGGCATGGGGCGCAGGGGTCCTGGAACGCTGTGTGTCATGCTTCCGGTGGCTCTCGGAGCCCTGCCCGCCTTTGGAGGGGTGTCGGCTTAAGCAGAAGGTCCTGTTTGATGCCTCCAAGGAAGGGCTGGGTTTTCCTCAGTGTGGGGGACACTGGGCGTGTGTGAGGGCTGGGGTCTTCCTTTGACGTTGCTCCCGCCGTTCTCTTGCCCGCCTGAACTGCCCCTGAACTGGTGGGACCGTACGGAACCTTGTGAGGCCTCACGGTGGTGGAAGCCAGAGGTCTCAACTCTCCATCAGGCCCACGTGCTCTGGGCTTCAAGTCGTTTGCGATCAGTTGTCAAACGGAAAAGGATACCAGACTCAGGAAGAAGAGGGTCTATCAGGAGGGATTCTTATAGGGGAGCCGGGAGGGGACTTCTGCGGTGGAGAGACGTGTGACCGTGAAATCACCAAGCACGTTAGGGGCCAGGGAAACGGGTTTTCCTTTGCAGGGTGGAGTAGACGAGGCCGAGGACCCGGGTGTGCGGCAGCGGGTGGAGGACTGGAGTGAGCGGGTGGTGGATCGGAGGGTGTGCCCCCCAAGGCCAGCTGCTCTCAGGGGGGCCGTCCCAGGGGCTCAGCCTGGCGGTGGGAGGAGGGAGGTCTGGGGGAAGGGAGGAGCTGGACCCGAGTTGGGTAACATGTTTTGCTCCGATTAATCTGTGAGGAGGCACAGAGCGGAACTCGGGGGCCTGTGTCTCGCGCTGCCCCGGGTGAGCGGGGGCTTCTGTCTTGTCCGACTCACGTGCAGGGAGCCCTTTCGGGGTCACAGAGGGAGGTCCACCACTGATCGCAGGGCCAGTGCAGGCAAGGCTGCCGGGCTGAGCTCTGCAGGGAGCGGGTCTGTTGTGGTGGTGGCCGCGCAGCTGCCGGGCTGCGGGCTGCAGCCACCTGGGCCCCGAAACTGCAGCCGGGCCGTCCATCCGGGCCTTTTCCCACGGGGACCTGCTTCCAGGGAAGGTGCGTGGGCTGGGCCGTGACGATGGGAAGGGCGCATTGCATGCAGGAGTGGCTCCGGGGACGGAGGGCCGGCGCGGGGCCGCTGGCCATCAGCAGGATCGCAGCCCGGGGGGCTGGGTGGGGGCTCGGGGCGCCCCCAAGACAAGGCCGGGAGCCTGGGGAAGGAAGGAGCCCAGAGCCTTGGAGCTGGGGGATGCTTCGCAGGCCTGCTCTGCTTTAAGGTTGTTCAGAACCCTCACGAGTTCCGGGACGTTTTTGGCTTCTTCCTTCCTTGTGTTGACTCTCCTCTTCCTCCACCCCCCCCCTCCTCTTTTCCTGATTTTGGCTTTTACGTCCGTAATATCATGAAACGTAAACATTGTGGAAACATGAAGCTTGAGCAGCAACAGTTCGCTCCCACGTGACCCTGACGGAGGGACCCGCTTGGAAGCTGTGTTGCTGTAACGTCACCATCACTCACCCGTGGCCGGCCAGGCCTGACCCAGCCCCGCTCCCCCGGCACCCCCGGCGCTCACTCAGAGTCCGTGCGCCACGGGGACCCGGGGCAAGGGGGGTGGCCTGGATGGAGTCGGGGTGCAGGCGACACTCTTTGCTCCCGGTTCATTCAGATGCTGCATCTGGTCTCACCTGGCCAGGTGAGCTGCGCCCCGTGACTGAGCCCCGGGGGCCTGTGGAGCATGTGTGTGTGTGTGCGCACGTGCGTAGGAGGGAGGGTGAGGGCTTCTGGCTCACGTTTGCTCTGCTAACACGCCCCCTCTTCTCACTCTGTCTCAGGCTCCGCCGTCAGCAGGCGCTGGGAAGAAGCCGCACCCCGTTGCTGAAATGTTCGACGACACCGATCATCAGGTAGGGGACGACAGCCACCTGCACAGTGTGGTTCTTTTTAGAAGCGGCTCCTGAGCAGGGCCTGTCAGAGGTGGCCAGCCAGTGGCCTCCTCTGCTTGGTGCGCCCGCGGCGGAGGGCGGGCGTGGGAGGGCGTCGCTGCCCCGCGTGGCCAGGGCAGGGGAAGGGCTGCGGGGGCCAGGCTGAGGGTGCGGGCCCAGGGATGGCC